TGCTCACATAAGCTTCCGGATAGCGACCTAATACAACTGGCAAATTGATAAAGTATATGTGGTCAAAATATTGATACAGTAAATCAGGATTCTGATGCGCCCATAGCTGCATGCCTTCAAGGCAACAAATAATCAAAGCGGACAGAAGTTGCACAAATAGTAAAAACCTCCCTTGTTTTACGAAAAACATTATTTCATTCGGCACAGATGCAGATTTTTCAGCCCCATTGCTAGGGGAAATCATACATTTTGAAGATATAGAAAATGATGTAGCTAAAATACTTACCTAGCTCATGATAATCATATTGTGAACTGTCCTCATTGTCCACAAAATCTGAGCCTACCACGTAATCTAAAATATCGGTGATAACATAGTTCGAAAAGAATGCAATAACTTACAGGCGCCTCCAGCTAAATCCATGTTCGATCTGTGGCAAGCACGTGCTAGATGCACGGCTTCCGGCCATAATGGTAAACCTAATTCAATCGCTTTTTCAACCTGAAACTTATTTAGCTATACCAATTCCTGTGAAAGTGTTTGATGGCTACATACTGCCTGCCTAGTGGTGTGACGATCATGTAACAGCCATAGAGTAGAAAGTTCTGAAGGTGATAGTTGCTTCACCATTTTTGGTTATTCATCTCATGGACATGATAAACAACAACTAAAAGGATCAGTTAGTCTGGAAAAAAGAAGGCCAACTCACCTTACCTAATTAACTGTGTGATTACCATATCAAGCGGGATGCCTGTTGAAATGGCTGAAATTCAAAGTAACGAGTGAAGCGAAAGAGATAATGCATAGTGAAAGGACGTTTGCGCACTAACTATAACGATTCCTTAATTCTTCAACATACAACAACAAGTTTGTCTGGCAACAACATGTTGCACTGGTTGTTGCATGTTGCCAACATGTTAGACATGCGCGTCTCAGACAGAACCGACGCAGGGAAGAGCATGAAAAGAGAGCGCACTATGGATCGAATGGTCTAGAAAAATTATGATCTAGATAGCATATCCACTGGGCTAAACCCGGAAAAAACAAGCAGCAAAGTTTACTTCAACAGCGCATGATACATCTCTAAATTCTGCACGACAGATTTATAGGAAAGGCTAGACTTGTTCGAGATTACAACACCAAATGTTGTGGGAAAAACTTTACCAAAACATTTGCAAAGCATAGCGAGAAGTTTAGGCGTACGTTCACAAGCGCAGTTCCGCGACTGCAGAGCACACATAATCGGCACGGCTTTTTCCTGGGAGCAGGCGGAAGG